TAGGAATCTATAATAAGAAATTCAACATGCTAGCATTGTTTAAGTGTATAGCCTATACATCCTTAATAAGCCTTGCTCGTTCGATGCACGAAACTATGAAACGCGAGAATCCTGTTCGTGTTGACATCGCCGAATGTGGCAATTCTTTGGACAAATGATCGATTCTCCTCGTAGTTTAAAATGAAACGCCTGTATAGGAATAAATTTGTTCTAATTTGAGCTCATAAAGGATGTTTTAACATACTGAACGCGTCTTTCTTTCTGTACACCAGGTTGACAGGTGGTCAAAGAGATTTTAATGAGAATACTTGTTTCTGAATAGGCTCGTCTTTTACCGTTAAATATGACTGCTTAACGAAGAAATGGAATTCTACCAGAAATTCTTAAGAATTCTTTATCTGATTAAGGAAACGTCTCAACGTGATCACCGTGTCAGAGCTACAAAAAGTTTATTACGTCTGTGTCTTCATATTAATTTCTTTCGTTTCTTCGATTATGCTGATTTTAATAAACATTTTCAAGGAGTAGCAATAATAATCGTGTTTTGCTTGTTCTCCCATTCCTGTCTACGTGTTCGCGCATACATCACTTTTCGAGTGTTAATTGCTCATACAACGCGGCTGTGTCTACTTTGGACCGACACGTGCATTTCCGCTTGGCCAATGCGCGTGAACTTTGCTTTCAGCGGAGCGAAAAAGGAAGTCTGCGAAAAGAATCCATTCGCTTTATACGGCTACCCCAGGAAATGATTAGACGCGAATTGCGTGCGCGGCCTTCGATCAGGTATTTCGGTTTGGCAATGCCGTTTGATGAGCGAAGTTTGTGATAACGATTTACCGCTTTTATGATTAAATTAACGTATAATCTGTACCTCAGATTCCATCATTTATAACAATAATTTTGTACTTATATAGAGAGAATTTACAATGTACGTGTTTTGCATAAAAAATTGTTGCAAAGAGTCGATGATAAATGAATCCATTTATAAAATTAATATATTTCTATACAGAACTCTTGCTAAATCACCTCCAAGTCTTACTGCGAAAAGACTTATTTATGACGTGACATTGAAAAATGTGAAGGAACGAAAGTTGTTCCCTTGATATGCAAATTTATTGCTAATCCTTGGCCAAAAATGGTTGGACTAAAAATCTGAATTTGTATTAGAGACACATACGTGAAATAAAGAAATCCATGAGCGTATCATAAATTATGTAAAGAGTAATCAACCAATAATTATCGTTCATTAATTAATATTGGATTATTGTTCAGCCAATTAATTTTTATGTTATTCTTTTTGCTGCTGCTTGGTTCGCAATGAATTTGATATTCAGAAGCACGCTAGAAATATTAAACGAAATACTTCAGTAATTAGAAATTACAGCAACTTGAACGATGTATCTGATGAAGATTCTGAAATTTCATTAGAATAAATTCTAGCTGTGGTTGCTTTCTTCATTCACACATCAATCATATTTACCAGTAACGTGTATACATATATGTATACCGTATAAAAAGCTATTATTTAACGTCGATGACGTCTTTTGGCTTGAAATTAATTCCTGACGCAAGCATAAGAAGTCAGTGAAAAACTCACTAATTGGTAACAGACGTATTAGATAATAACCGAGTTATTTTTTAAGGAAATCAATAATTGATGATTGCTGTCCTGACAATTTATCTGTAATCGCGACGAAAGATACAAATTAAAGTACAACCATCGATTGTAGAATATTTTAGCTATGAATATTATAAAAGAAACAGAAAGGATCTACAGGCGTTCCATTATTTTTATTGGTAGATAGAAGAGAGATCGGTTACGAAAGGATATAATGGGCATCGACCAAGGAAAGTATACTCTGATTCACATTGGCTTCTTCGGCTGGATTACGTAATCGGTGTATACTTTCCTCGAAACGATTAACAGTGCACAAAGAACGTAAGATTAGGCACTTTCCATTTCACTAGTCGTCCCCGATTCGACGGGCAACGTAATAATTACCTATACACTCGCGTCAACCGTTTATGGGAGGATCACTAAAACTGTTGGATTATTGAAATTGTTGGAACTCGAGTTTAAACTGCTTCCTCGCTGTGCACGTACAACAGCCAGACTTCACGTTAGGTACATGCTTTCCTTTGAAGGCGAGCATTAACCCTTCCCATTCCCAGAATATCTCTGACGCCTCAGGCA